CACACACCCCTATGTGGTGATAAATTATGTTATTCCAGGGCTCTCCTTTATATTACAATCTAAATGGGAAAAAAGTGTCAAAAGTATGTTCAACAACCAAAAAAATGGATTGGCCTTTTCTTTTTTTTCCATTCTCACCCCAATCATCAATTCCCACTGAAAGAGGAAGGAGAGTAAAAAACGAGTCAAAAGTCTTCCTATAGCTGCATGACCACATGAAGAGACTTGCCATAATGTTGTGTCACAGGAGTATGCTCAGAATTTATCAATTAGAGATTACTGGGAAGGCAAACAATGAATGTCATGAAGAATCATCTGAGAGATGATGATGATGAAGAAATCTAATTCAGCATTTGTATGTGTGTACAAGTGATGTTAAATGCTTTCACTTGGAGAAACTAGTACTGCATAGTAAATAGAAAGCTTGCTTTAGAATGAGGAAGACCAGGGATGAAACTCTGTCTCAGACAGGTACTACAATGGCAGTTAACTTAATATTTTAAGATCCAGTCATCTCTAATAATTTTAATGTCACAGCAGACATTAAAGTCCTGAGTGTCCTCATGCAGAATTAATTTTTTGCACTTAATAATTTTTTTTTTGCAATTACATGTAAAGATAATTTTCAACATTCATTTTTGTAAGATTTTGATTTCCAAAATTTTCTCCTTTCTTCCTCTCTCCCCTAGACAGCAAGCAATCTGATATAGATATACATGTACAATCATGTTAAATATATTTCCATATTAGTCATATTGTGAAAGAAGAATCAGAAGAAAAGGAAAAATGAAGAGAGAAAAAAATTAAAAAGTGAAAATAGTATGCTTCAATCTCCATTCATATTCCATAGTTCTTTCTCTGGATGTGGATAGCATTTTCCATCATGAGTCTTTTTGAATTGTCTTTAGTCATTGTTTTTCTGAGAAGAGGTAATTCTATCAAAGTTGATGATTACACAATTTTGTTGTTACTGTGTACAATGTTTTCCTGATTCTGATCACTTCACTAAGCATCAGTTCTTGCAAGTCTTTCTAGGTTTTTTTCAGAAATCTGCCTGCTCATCATATCTTATAGAGCAATAGTATCCTACCACATTCATAAACCACAACTTATTCAGCCATTCCCCAATTGATGTGCATCCCCTCAGTTTCCAAATCTTTGTCACCACTAAAAGAGCTATTATAAATTTTTTGTACATGTAAGTCACTTTCCCTTTTTTATGATCTCTTTGGGATACAGACCTAAGAGTGGTATTGCTGGATCAAAGTGTATGCACAATTTGGTTGCCTTTGGACATAGTTTCAAATTGCTCTCCAGAATGGTTGGCTCAGTTCAAAACTCTACTAACAATGCATTAATGTTCCAATTTTGAGGATTAACTTTTATTCTTATAAATTTGACTGAGTTGTCTATATTTTTGAGAAATGAAGCCTTATCAGAAATACTGCTCTAAAAATTGTTTCCCACCTTTTTGTTTTCCTTCTAATCTTGGTTGCATTAGTTTTATTTGTGAATTTTTTTAATTTAATATAATTAAAATGATTGATTTTGCATTTCATAATGTTCTCTATCTGTTGTGTAGTCATAAATTCTTTCCTTCCCTATAGATCTGACAGGGAAACTATTCCTTGCTGTCTTAATTTACTTATGGTATCACCATTTATGTTTAAATTATGTACCTATTTTGGCCTTATCTTGGTATAGGGTATGAGATGGTGATCTATGCCTAGTTTCTACCATACTATTTTCCAGTTTTCCAAGTAGCTTTTATCTAATAATGACTTCTTATCCTAAAATCTGGAGTCTTTAAGTTTATCAAAGAGTAGATTATTATAGTCATTGACTACTGTGCCTTCTGTACCTAACCTATTCTACTGATCCACTATTCTATTTCTTAACCAGTACAAAATAGCTTTTTTTATGATTGCCACTTTTTAATATAGTTTTATATCTGCTATGGCTAGGTAGCCTTCATTGGCATTTTCCCCATTAATTCCCTTGATATTCTCGATCTTTTGTTTTTCCAGATGAATTTTGTTATTTTTTTTCTAGCTCTATAAAATAATTTTTGGTAGTTTGCTTGCTATGGCATTGAATAAGTAAATTAATTTAGATAGAATTGCCATTTTCATTATATTACCTCTATCTACCCATGAGCAATTGCTATTTTTCCAATTATTTAGAACTGACTTTATTTGTGTAAAAAGTATTTTATAATTGTGTTGATATAGTTCCTCATTTTGTCTTGGCAGATAGACCCCAAATATTTTATATAGTCTACAATTACTTTAAATGGACTTTCTCTTTCTATCTCTTGCTGCTGGGCATTGTTGGTCATATATAGAAATACTGATAATTTATATGGATTTATTTCATATCATTCAACTTTAATAAAAGTTCTTGTTTCAAGCAGTTTTTTGCTTTATTGTCCAGGATTCACTAAGTATACCACCATATCATCTTCAAAGAGTGATAGTTTTGTTTCCTCATTACCTATTTTAGTTCCTTCAATTATTTTTTATTCTCTTATTGCTTTAGCTAACATTTTTGGTACATTGTTGAATAATACTGGTAATAATTGACACTTTTGTTTAACACTTGATCTAATTGGGAATTTTTCTAACTTATTCCCATTACATATAATGCTTGCTGGTGGTTTTGAATAGACACTGCTTACCATTTTAAGGAAAACTCTTTTATTGTTATACTGTCTTGTGTTTTTTATAGTAATGATTGCTGTATTTTTTAAAAAGCTTTTTCTGTATCTATTCCAATAAATATCTGTTTTATCTTAATTTTATTTTTGATATGATTAATTATGCTGATAGTTTTCCTCATATAGAAACAGTTCTGAATTCCTGATATAGATCCCACTGGGTCATAGTGTATTATCCTCATGATAATTGCTACAATTTCTTTACTAATATTTTATTTAAAATTTTTGCATCTATATTCATTAGGGAAATTAGTCTATACTTTTCTTTCTCTGTTTTGGCTCCTCCTGGGTTTGGGTATCAGCACCCTATTTCTGTCATAAAAGGAATTTGGTAGGATTCATTTTTTGCCTGTTTTTTCCAAATAACTTATATAGTAATGGAAATAATTGATTTTTTAAATGTTTGATAGAATTCACTTACAAATCTATCTGGCCCTAAAAATTTAGTCTTAGGGAGTTCATTAAGGGCTTGATTATTATCTTTTTTTTTCTAAAAAGGGTTAAGTATTTTATTTCCTTTTCTGTTAATCTGGACAATTTATTTTTATTAAATATTTATTGATTTCACTTAGATTATCAGATTTATTGGCATTCAATTGGGCAAAATAACTCATAATTATTGCTTTAATTTCCTTTTCATTGGTGGTGAATTAACCCTTTTTATTTTTGATACTGGTAGATTGATTTTCTTCTTTCTTCTTTTAAAAATCAAATTAATTGATTATTTTTTTTCATAAAACCAGCTCTTGGTTTTATTTATTAGTTGAATAGTTTTCTTACTTTCAATTTTCTTAATTTCTCATTTAATTTATCCAAACTTTTAATTTTGTATTTAATTGGGGATTTTTAATTTGTTCTTTTTCTAGTTTTTTTAGTTACATGCCCAATTTGTTGATCTCTTCTTTCTGTTTTATTCATATAAGCATTTAGGGATATAAAACTTCCCCTAAGGACTGCTTTCACTGCATCCCATAAGTTTTTATATGTTGTCTCATTATCGTCATTTTCTTGGTTGAAGTTATTGCTTATTTCTATGATTTGTTGTTTGACCCACTCATTCTTTAGGATTAGATTATTGAATTTCAAATTATTTTTAGTCTATCTTTCCTTGGCCTTCTATTACACAGAATTTTTATTGCATCATGATCTGAAAAAGATGCATTTAACATTTCTACTACTGCCCTCCCTTCTATCAGCCTCCCCCCCTTCCCTTTTCTTTCCCCTTTCCCCTCCTACCTCCCCATAGGGTATGATAAATTTCTATACCCAACTGAGTGTGTATGTTATTCCCTCTTTGAGCCAAATCTGATGAGAGTAAGATTCAAGGAACACCCAACCCCTCCCTTCTTTCCTTCTACTGTAATGGGTCTTTTGTACCTCTTCATGTGATGCAATTTACCCTATTCTGCCTCCCCCTTTCCTTGTCTCCCAGAACAATCCTTTTTTGTACCCTTTAATTTTTTTATGTCATCACATCAAACTCAAATTATACCCACACCCTCTGTTTATGTATACTCCTTCTAACTGCCCTCATAGAGATACAGTTCTCAACAGTTACACATATTATCTTTATATGTAGGGTTGCAAGCAGTTTAATCTTATTGAATAGCATGCTTGTTTTTCTTTCCTGTTTACCCTTTTATACTTCTTTGGAATCTTGTATTTGAAGATTGGATTTGCTGTTCAGCTCTGGTCTGGGGAGGAAAGCAGTATCAATGTGACATACAAGAAAAATCAAGTAATGTAAAGCCAAATGTATATCAAATAGACACATCTTAAATTTGATCATGCTTCATATTTCTTATATTTTCTTTTCTTTTAGAATCTATGTCTGTTACTTTCTAATTTTGTTTCACTTACTGATAGCTCTCTGAACTTCACTCAAACACCACAGCAATTTCGACACGTCATAGCTCACTGGGATCAATCATACTAAAATTACCCCATATTTATTTTAATTAGTTTAAAATAATATTTTTATTTCTTATTCAAATTTGTGCACTCATGATCTGTTTCAATAGAATGTATTGGACTACAAAATAAAATGAAAACTTTAAGTTCATAATCATAAAAATTAAAAAAAAACAATGCTTTTTACTATTAAATACAGATTAATATGAAATTCTAAAGTTTGAGTTGAAATGAAGATAATACTATTCAACTACTTAAAACAATCCCTTTAACCTAAAACATTGTCATTTAAAAAGACAAAAAAACTGTCTTAGAGTTTGATTATTGATAAATGCATACATGTTTAACCAAAATTTCCTCCTTTTTATTTTAGATGAACTTACAAATTCATCAGAGACCAGATTGTCTTTAGAAGATCTCTTCAGAAAAGAGTTTGTGGTTCATAATCCTGAGGCCAGATGGATCAATGGTAGGTTTATGATTTCTGTATTACCTGGAAATTTAGTATTACAGTGATAGATTAATATGTTAGTAAATACAAATGACTTGTGATTTGATTTATTTGATTTATTCTTCATACATAAAATTGTACCATAAGCCTTGTGTTCTCTGTTCAAGAAAGATAGAAGACCTAGGGAGTCTGAGTAGACCATTATCCTGAAATTTTTAACTTCCAGTTTACTTTAATATTTATGCTGCTAGGAAAACCAAAATATATGTGTGTTTTTATATATGTTGATATGAAAACAAAGACTAAGAACACATTAAATATCAACCAGTTTTATTTTCAGAGGTTCTGAGGAAGCCAGGTGTGGGTTAGTTTGTATTTGTTACATGTATATGTTATAAGATTAGAATTTATTAGTTTGGATATGTTGTGATATATACATACATATAAGCATACATGTGTATTCATGTGTATATATGTGTATATACACATATATGTTATAGGTATAGGCACACTTCAATTGTAATATTATGATTTACATTTATGATTACATTTATATAATTTGTTTTATAATAAATGGGGCAAACCATTAAGATTCCTTACTTGTCACTACAATTATTTGGAATTATGGGTAAAATGATTAAAGGTTATATCACTTTTACCTAGAAAAGGGATCATTCCAAAGTTTCTCTTAAGTTACCTTGAAAAAAGAATTTTCAAAGATAAATGGTCAGCATATTGCAATGAGTCCTGACCAAAAAAACAAACAAACAAACACACTTGAGTAGCAGTAGACACATAGACTCCCCCCACCACTCCAGCTTCCATCTATATAGTGATAGTAGAGGAAAACATCTATGGTAATTCATGTTGTAACAGATGATGAAAAGGTGAAAAAATATATTTGTATATTGAGTGCAATTATTTACCTGTATACACAAAATATGATCATCTCCTGCATTATCCTCCATATGATACTTTGTAAATAATTGTGAATGTGCTAGAACCAAAAGGGAACAATTCTACATGTCAGTATTAATCAATAACATTCCTTTATTCAGAAGTTATTCTTGTAATTCTAAAAGTAGGATTCAATTTCTTATGTTTTTAAAAGAATATTCACAATAAGCAAAGGGTCAATGTCCCTTTCACAAGAATTCATTGAATTAAATAAATAGAGAAAATTTTCTCTTTAATCTCAACTCCTATGACAGCCTATAAGAAGTCCAGTATATAAAATAATGATAATGATAATGATAACAACAACAACAACAACAACAATAATAATAAAGACCTAGTTTACCAAGAACTAGCATGCTCTAGGCTTTCTCTTAAGGCCCTATGACAACTGTCAATGATAAGACCAATCCAAGATGATAATTGAATAAGAGCAAAGTCCTTGAAGTTCCAGAAAAATAGATTGGTTTAACAATATCTTAGGATAAGCATGTCTATTATCTACTGTTGTATACATACTGTGTAAATACATTTAATGTTTTTTTCTACTTTGCCTTCATTACTAGTAATGTTTTTCTCTGAGATGAAATGCAGGAAAAGGGATTAAAGAATAAGGATCCCTGGGGGAAACTTAGTGGCATTTCTCAAAAAAAAAAAATGAGATATAGTTTGCATTAGAAAGCAGACAACAGTAGAAAAACCTCCCCTTTCTAACCTTAGGTATTGTGTCTTCATAAACACATGCCATAGGAGTTATTAGGAATGGCAGTAGTTGTGTCCAACATTTTTCTCAGCATTTTTTTTACCCAAAGACAGATATTTCTTTTATTGGACTTCATATTTTTTGTTAAAATCTCTTACTAAAGACAACTGGAAAGAGAAGTGAGATCACCAATTGTTAGTATGAAGCACAAATATTGCACACATACACATTTTCTGATGGGCTCTTACAATTTTCTAAGTCACTATTATTTATTTGAAAACTTTCTCTTTGAGGAAAAAAATATCAACTATACTCAGGAGATTTTTCTTTCTTTTTTTTTTTTTCATTTCAGTGTAGGGAACCTTGGCAAACTGCACAAAAATACTGTTTTATTCATTCTGGCTTTTGGTGAATACAATATATGCAATCTTGCCTACCAAACACAAAAAGGAAATGTAAATATCTTTTTCACCCACCAGTGCTCCTTGGACTGAATTCTCCTTTGGAGAGTCTATCCTCCTGGATTTACTTGACATTTTTATTTTGTAGCTCAAAATATTTGGTATCATAATTTAAGTAGTAAAATGGAATTAAATGCCTGCCAAGTTTTGACAAATATGTTCAAAATGCTGTATTTTTCCTCAATGGTATGAAAGATCGGTGGACTAGTTAGCAAAACACTTGAATAATTTTCTTAGGCAGGTAGCAATATCTGATAGAAATATAATTAAGTGGAAAAAATACTTAGGAAAGCAACATGATGATATGTATTTTTCTATGAATTGGAAACTTTTTGGATTAGTGACATTAGAACAACCTTTTGATTATTGTCCACAAAGTTTCCTTTTATATTAATTAATGAAACATAATAAAATGTTAGCTTGTTGTTTCTTTTGCAAGTTATATTTATTTTTCTAGGGCTAGCTTAAATTGTTAGTGATAAGAAGTCATCCTTCTTAAAATATTCCCTAGGAAAGCTATATTCTGCATCTTTCACTCTTAATCCAAGGTTAATTATCACTTCTTGCTTAAAGAATCTTTATACTGTTACCTTTGCATTGTTTTCTGTATTTATATTTGCCAGTCCTACTCTCCTCTTAATCTAGATTATTTCTGCCTCTACTTATTCCCAAATTCACCATTTGAAAGAATATCTTTTCTATCAAAGTATACTCAGATTGTTAATTGCAAGAGTGATTTTGGGTTCTCAAAGGTCATGCCAGTCAACATCAAACTCTAGTTGTTCCTACCATGTTGGAAAGACTTTTGACCTGGATCCATTGATAGACTACATTTCTATTGTCTGAGGACAATCCTGGTTAAATCTAGAGAAGTTCATTATCAGAGAGTGAATGCTAACTGATATTTTTGACATAAAGAATGAGACATTACATAGAAAGATTGCATTTTGAATTGACAGATGGAATAGCATTACCACTGAAATCACTCTGAATTATCAAAAACAGTATGTATGTGTGTATATCTAAATATATACACATAAGAGGAAAGGAAGTGCTATATTTTAGATCAAACTGTCCTGAATGTGAAGGTCAGAATCTAAGGAATATGAAGGTAGAATGTTATGAGGTTAGGATTGGAGGAAACGGTGTTGAACTTTCCTATCTCTCATAGTTTTTGATTTTGGATATATATTAATATATTAATTAATTAATTATATTAATAATATAATAATATAATTAATTAATTAATATATATTAAGCCAACTCAAACAGTCCTGAGATTTTTCAGACATCTTTGGATTTTTGGATTTGTCTTTCTCTCAGTTAAGATATGAAAGAATTGTCTCAGAACTGATTGAAAGATTTTTGGGGGCAATGAAAAATGACCAATCAGTATAATAAGAATATACCAGCACAATGATCTGTTTGTTTTAAATAGCACAAGCAATAAGATGTTAGGCAGCACAGAAATGTTGATAACATAAGCAGATTCCTTGAATTTAATAACTCATTCCCCATATCTTCAAATTAAATATGAAATCAAGAGAAAGAAGAATGATTCTCAGTCAATTTAGCAGCTTTGATTTGAGGAATGTGGGTTATCTTAAAATGTCCAATCATCTATAGAAAGGTATTTGACATCATTCTTTCTGCCATATTACTCTTCTTCATGAAATGCCTTACAATGATACTCAACTTCCAGTCTGAGGCCCTGTATAACAGCCTCCATCCAAGAGATAAATTGGCAGATTTATTCAAAGTTTCTATAGATAATGTGTTATTTTTGTCAGCAAAACCAGTGTTTAAGTCTGAAAATAGCTGTGTGACTCTGGGAAAACCTTTAAACTCTCAGTGTCCCAGGAAAACCTGTAAGTCTAGAAGTTGAAGAATAATTTGATATCTCTATTGTTAAAGTATTTTTTGCACAAGTTGTTCCCTACACCAATGAAATAGCAGGTCTGGACCAAAAATAAAAACAAATAAATGCTAATCTTCATCTTGCTGTCTGAAAAATTCAAATTATCTTTCTCCCTTTTTGCTCTTTCATCCCTCTACACACAAATGATAATGATAAATTAATTTCATGAAAAAATAATAGTTATTTATTATTTTACTCCTTATTCATTTTAACCATAAGCACTGTTTCAAAGATTTCTATATTTCATAATGTTTCATGTTCAATGAATTTACCCCAAACTTGCATCACACTGTAGAAACACTTTTTGGAGAGTTGAAGATTTAAAATATGCCCTCCCAGTGTTGGCAAAACTAATCTATACATATCATTTTCAGAAATAATATAAACCATTTGAGCTTAAGTTGCAATAATTTGTTAGGGATACAAATGTGCTTAGTGTAATATATAAGTAAGAGTAGCTTCTCTGACAAACCATTCTAGTTTATGACTGAACATGAAATCACTTGGAAGTTTAGTGGAATGAATTTTTCTGAATAGATATGAGAAGTTAGAGGGGGACTAAAAGAAGGAAGGACACATTTATTAAGCACCTACTGTATGCCAGGCACTGTGCTAAGTTCTATATAAGTATTTTCTCAATTTGATATTTTAACAAACCTAGGAGATAGGTACTATTACTCCTGTTTTGCAGTTGAAAAAAAAAACAGAGGCACACAAAAGGTAAGAGACTTACCCAGGGTCAAAGAGCTACTAAGTATCTGAGGCCAAATTTGAACTCACATCTTCCTGATTTTGAGCCTAATGCCTTATCCACTATACCAGCTGGCTATGTTTAAAGAACTAAAAACAAAGATAAGGTTTCAAATATGGAAAACTTGATGAATTGAAGTACTATTTTCAGAATTATAGAATTCAGAAAAAGGATCAGGATTTGGTAAGCTTTGTTTGGACATATTAATTTTGAAGTGACAGTGGATATCCA